CTTGAAATCAACTCTCAGAGTGGAACACTAAAAAGAAATGTTAACAGTGGAACACTAAAAAGAAATGTTAACATACTCAATCGAAGGAAGACTAACTCATCTCATCTTGGAAAGACTCACCAGAAGCGAGAAGAGTTCTGTATCATTGGGATCTTCCTTCGTCCCTCCTCGCAGTCCACCTGATCATCCGGCCACAATCTCTCGCAGTGCCTGTCTGAGGTACTGAGAATGAGAGGAAGCAAATCCGGAGCTACCACCACCAGGTGGTTTGGTTGACCAGTTACGAGTTATCTAACGGCTCTATTATTTTGAAATTAAGGCTAGATTTCCATCTAATGTATGGTCCAGTGGGCCTTTTTTGTTCTTTTTGGGTTGAAGCCCTCATCTTTAATTGGGTTCTTTGCTTTTGATTGGTTTGGTATGGTCCAGCCCTTTCCTTTTTTCATCAAGACATTGTTAAAATCTGAATAAACCATTGTCGTGTGGAAGGCCGAAGGCACGAGAAATTTTTACATTGTCTCGTCAATCACAACTCCATAGTCCATATTCAAGTAAAAATTTAAATAAAAGTAACACTTTTATTGCATGTCGAGTTATGATTAGTCAAGGCTATATAGTCCCGGACCATGTAATATTTTTTCCAAAGTTACTACCTACATAAAGAAGAATTCAAGTCGAAAGGCATGAGATGAATTTCCTTCTAAATAAATGACAAAGGAGAAATGGGTTACAAATTCTGCCAGGTTTTGAGAAGCCTTGTCCCAAAGGTGCAGAGGTTCGATATATGTGGTTCGACCAGCTTTCTTTGTTCGCACTTAGCCTTGCTGGTCTTGGGTGACTTGGAGGACTTGTGCTGTGACATAAACGTCCTGGTGGACTTTTTATTTTGACGTTTCAGTGGTGGTGATTTCAGGGATGTTGAAGTGTAGTGGAGTTGCACGAGGGATGATGAGAAAAAAAGAAAAAGGTGATCAAGAAGAAAATATATATAGAGAGAAGCTCAAGAAATTTTACAAGGGTGTAATTACAAGAATAGTACTTGCTAAGCATGAAGACCATGGTTGGTGATTTAAACTAGTTCAAAAGAGAAGTTAGCCCAACACTAATAATAGAAACCAACAAGCTTTATCAATCTTAATAAATTGGCACATAACTTGTAATGCTCTGTATGCTTAAGTGGACAGGCAGGCATGGGCCCAACATAGAACCTGGGGGTATTGAATTTTTTATATTTTCATTATATTTCTTTTTTTTTTTTTAAATTTATGAAAATGTCCCTACTAAAATTACAATTCACCCCTACTGAATTTTTTTTTTTTTTTTTTTTTTTTTTTTTTTTTTTTTGCATTTTAAACTTCAAATTTTTGCGAATTTATGCGGATGCTCTCACTAAAATTATAATTCGCCCCACTGAATTAATTTTTTTGCATTTTATACTTTAATTTTTGAAAATTTATAAATAAAACCCATTGAAATTACAAAGATAGACCTACTATAAAAGTTTGCCCCCACAAATTAAAAAACGTTCCCCTCACAAAATTTTCTGGGTCCGTCACTGTGGACAGGCGCAATATTTAAATATCAAACATAGTGAAAGAAAGAGGCAAGGGAGTGTGAGAGCCGCAATAGCTTTAAAAAATTGTGTAGCTTAAGTCCTCATTTTAGGTACCAATTATGTAACAAAATAAGGTGTGATCTTTTAAAATTTATAAAAAGGGGGAATTGCACTAAACTCTCATTGACCATCGACTTTTTGCAGATTCATCCATTTGAATTTTTGGGGTACAAAGCATTCATTTATAATGGCCGTTAATGGCTAGCTCAGGGGCATAACCCCTCTGCAACAAATCGGTAAGTTAAGGGATTTGTACTTTCAAAAACTTTACTTAAGGTGAAGTTTTAATTTTTTTTTTTGAAAGGATAATTTGATGTTTAAATTATAATTGTATATATAAAATGAGGCTTCCAGTTTCAATAGAACAAACAAATGTGTTAGTTTCTTGAAAAGAAAAAAAAAAATCTCCTGAAAAATATAGAAAATACATTTACTTTTGTTGCTAGCAAGTTGTATATGGAGGCTTGGATGCTTATTAGCACCAACGTCAGGGGCTTTGGGTGTTTATTAGCACCAAGGTTTGGGATTCGATTCCCATTAGGAGTTTACGATAACTTGAGATCCCGGCCCGGGTTGAGGAGGCACCCTTCCTGGTCCTCGGTGATTAGTCAGGCGAAGCTTCGAATCCCGAGTTATTCAAAAAAAAAAAAAAAAAATTATGGACAGCACGACTTGAGTTGGACTTGGCACAGTGATTAGGTTGGATGTCTAGCTACAAGTTTTCAATTTTCCTTAAACTACTGAAGTTGAGGAGAATTAATGTCATGCTCCATAGCAATTGTTGTGTTGTAATTGGATCATTTCAACACGGTCCCAACTCACATGCATGCATGCAAAATAGCTTTGTATTACCCGCCAAAATTGGTCATTATCAACGACACACACTACTACGTGCTAAACCCCGGTGCTGGTGAATGCTTGACTAGTGATGGTTATCATGCACAAAATGGACAGAACGTAAATTATGGTCTGCAGTAGGTCATTGTTTGCTTCCTGATATACATTGTTGAAAAGTTTTGGTTGCATTTTTTTAAGGTTCTTGTTCTATATCCTCTTTATTTATTTTCCTACAATAAAACTTATTCTTACTTAATTAACTGCTGGATCAAAATTTGATTAGCTGAAGTAACCTTTCCTTGAAACAACCTATTGGTGCAGGACTGGGACCTCCCCACAGCGTTCATTAGGAATGATGTTTCTTCTCCTCCTTCGCATATGATCAATGCTCTGGACTTTGCATTAGAGCATGGTTCCTCTGTGACTGGTTTAGGGGAATAGGATTTCTTGTTGGTTCTGTCTATTTGTGGCTTAGTTCCTAGAACTGATTGCTGAAGCCTTTATGTCCCGTTTGGATCGCCAGAGACCAAACGAGCATACTAATAGATTTTCTGGACAAATCCCGAAGTGTGGTTTTTTACCCAATAGGAGAGTCTTTTTACTAGAAACAGCCCAACAAACAAGACTAGCTACTAATGTGTTTTTTGGCGGGATACCATCGTTTAGGGCATCAAAATCGGGTTTTCTGTAACTTCATTTTTAGACTTATTTTTGGTATTAGTATCCTTTCAGAATTAGGTTTCCTTATGTTATAAGAATTCAAGTTGCAGTTAGTTTCCTTATGGATTAGGGTTTCTTTCCTTATAAATATGTGTAATGCAAATATCAATGTTGCTTAAATCGGAATTCTACGCAGAATCATTTTGGGCTCCGTAGAACGGAATCGTAGAATCGGATCGTGAATCGTAAGATTCTACCAAAATGTGAAAAACCAATTGAAACTAACTTCTTAAAGAATAAGATCTGTAAAATATAATAAAAATGAGGCCAAAACACACAATATTACATATCTATGAGTTCACAAATCTCAAATTCTAACAATATTTCAAAGTCTGAATATAAATAAAAAAGAATGTAGCTTAAAATAACATGAGTTTACAAATCTCAAATCTTAACTCATCCATCTCCAAAGTTAGAAACTAAAATTACATATCAAAAGGAATTTTTTTTTTTTTTTTAAACTCTATGCAATTTCCTTCTTCTTTTTTTTTCTTTTTTTTTTTTTTTTTTTTCTTTTCGAAAACTGAAGAAATAAAAAGACCTTTTTGTCCACCAATCCAAGTGTTACGGTGTATGTGACCTTATTAGTCACAAGTATAAAATTAATCAAGAGTTAGCACAACAAAATTAATGAACCACGTGTTAACTCGATCTCATTATATTATCAGTTTAGACTACAATATTATACCTTGGCTGGCATATTTGGCAAGTCTTTTAAGCTTTTAAATTATTTTTAATTTTTAATATATATGATAAGCCTTCAAAAAAAAAAAAAAAAAATAGTCAAATGAAAATATTAATCATGAAACCAAAATTTGCCTAAATGTGTTAGTCACGAGTATGCATCTTTGAGATATAATTGATCATTTTAATTTTTTATAATTAAACACAAAAATATATTATGGAACATCGACATGCATGGTAAAAATAATTGATATATATACATATATATATTTCTTTTTCTGCCGGTAATGAAAAATAATTTATATTTTATAGAATAAATATTTAACTTTGTATACTATACTTGGGCCAAGCCTCTTTTATTTTGTAGCCTAGAACAAACCAACCAAAAAATAAAAAATAAAAAAAAACCCAAAAATAAAGGCCCAAACAACCAATTTTGTAGAATCGGATTCTACCTCCGATTCTACGATTCTACTCCTGATTCTATCGATTCTATCCCCGATTCTATCGATTCTATCCCCGATTCTACCAATTGAGCGATTCTGCTACGATTTGACTCGATTTTGAGTTCTGAGTCATAGAATCGTGCGATTCTACGACTCAGGATCGCGATTTTGATAACCATGGCAAATATCAGAATCATTCATTCAATTATCAATAATATCAATAATATATCACATTTTTTTGAATTTATCTCTTGTTTTGTGAATTTAAATATTCGACTTTGTAGATTCAAAATAAGCCGTTCATTGCGTATTGCTCTTCTTCCAAAAAGGGCTTAGTCACATAACTCAGATCCCATGCACGGGTGTAACACACTGCAAAATGCAATACTAATACTTATGTAACAACTTTAAAAGAGAGTAGGTTTTTTTTTTTTTTTAATTAATTAAAGGGTAAGCTTGTGTAAATGTAAAATAATGTACAAGAGAGTCCTATAAGATAGGAACAACAAGTTGCACAAGGCAGCAGCAGAATCCCAACAAAATACAAATGCTAAGAACCAGTCCTAGCAAGCAAAATACATAAAAGGTTACAGAACTAACTTCCGCAAGTTCAAGTAAACCTAATGCAATACAAACATAAAAAGCAACCATCCAAGCAATCATTTTCCAGTAAACACTTCCATTGAAGGCAACCAAATTTAAGGGACAGTTAGAGCCTGAGCACAGGCATAGCTGCATCCATCCAAGAACAGTTTCTGCAAGTCTTTAAGTCTCCTAACATTCCTCATATTAGAAGCATTCTTTAGCTTAATTAAGGCTAGTCTTCCTTTTAAACATTTCTTAATCTGAGAAATGACTGAGGTTGGGGATGAGGATGTTTTCCTGAAGGCCCTATTATTTCTTTCCATCCATAGAAAGTAGAAAGCAGCAGAGAGTAGTAGCTTATGCACCAGAAAATCATTAGCACTCCAATGAGCAAAACACCATAAGATCAGTTCTTTCCAACTAGATGGCTGAATGTACAACCCAATTGTGTGTTGAATGAATGACCACACCACCTTTGAGAACTCACACCGGAAGAATAGATGGTCCAAGGATTCATTGTTGGCTAGGCTAAGAAAGCAAGCATTGGCGTGATGTTTGTGCTTCATAGGTTTTCTGTCAAGAGTATAAAGTCTTCCTTTTGTTGTTAACCAAGCAATAAAGCTATGCTTGGGAATATGATGTTTAAACCAAATGGTCTTGTGCCATGGGAAAATGAAAGTGGGAAGGAGGAGGTATTTGATTGTATGAGCAAGGGAGAAATTGCAGCTAGGTGAAGGTAACCATAAAACTGTATCAGCATTAGTGGAAGGGTTAGGCAGTTCATTTAGTTTAGTGTGAAAGTTCAGTGATTGAAAGAAGGGAATGCGAGCAAGTGAGTCAGGTACAACCCAATGATTCAAAGAAATTAGCCTATCAATTTTGACTCTCAAGTCCAGTTGAAGAATTTCCCCATCATTAAAGTTGATCTGATTGAGCAAAGGCCCATTTGGAAGCCGATAATCTAACCACATCATGGTATCAGTGCCCTTTCCTACCCTATTACATTGTGTTGCAATGTTATAACATCATTAAATAAAAAAAATTAGCACATTTACGCCTAGTTAGTTAATTCACATATGATACGCCAATTAAACGCGTACGTACGAATTTTGGGAAAATACTTTCATTTGCCGATCAAAGTTGAAATATGCGTATTCTGTCCATCACCCAGTATCTAACGTGTTTATTTGTTTATTCGTTTTGATTGCTCCGTTTAATTCGTAACCTAATTATTCTTTTTTTTCGTTTACAAACTTCACGTTTCTAATAGCGTTTTTTTCTGAAACACAAACTATTGTCTTTTCTACCCTCTTTTGTTTGGTATAACCATTATTTTTTAAACCATCAAAATAATGTTATTTGTTGTGCAAACTATTATCTTTTCTACCCTCTTTTGCTTAGTCTATTCATTATCTTTCAAGCCATCAAAATAATGTTATTTGTTGTGTAATCTCTTATTGTTGTCACTCCAATTATGATCTTTAATCAAAGCAATGAAATATATATATATATTTGTGGAACACTATAATCTTAAATAATCATAAGTTTTTATTGATGTTTGTAATATTATAGATTTTTTGTTTTGTTATGAGATCTTTTAAATTTTGTTAATATATTTATTATTATTATTATTTTGGAAGTTTGTAGATCACCACACTTTCTAGATGTTTTAGTAGAATATCACATTATATACATATGAATTTTTTTTTTTATGATTATTGTGATAGTGTCAGTTGTAATATATTTATTTTATTATTTGTTATATATTCTTTATTATCCTTACAAATATATATATATATATATATATATAAGAAAATAATAAGATGTGTATAGCCGAATTTTTGATCCCAAATTTTTAGCGTATATAACGTATTATATACGTACTTATCCGTATTCGTATTTTTACGTCTCGGTATTTTTTTGCCGAATTTTTTAAACGTATTTTAAAAAAAATATATCGAATTATACTCCTACGTTTCTGAACCCGTATTTTTTCAACTATGCATTTACGTGGCTCTTATATATATTATATATCATTTTAAATTTGCTACATATTCAACTTTTAAAAGTTAATTGTTATATTAGGCGCCGAGTAGGCACATAACAAAAATGAGGCAAGAGAATATCTTGATTCTTGGTAAATCTGCTTCCCATTTCCATCTGCTTGTACTTTCATGCATCATGCATGAGATTGGAATCATTTCACTTCCAAAAAGGGTTTAAGTTACAAGTATATATAATACTTTACAATACATTTAGGTTGTACATGATCGAGTTCCTCCCATCAGAAAACAGATCTCTTTGATGGATGGACCAGGATTCGCTTCTGTCGGGGGATCTGGTCTTGTTATTACCAATAATTATATAAATACAAATTAATACTAGTATTATTTTTGTGAGTTAATAATGTATTAAAATATTGAAATAGCATACAAGCTTTTAAATTGAAACTAATAATGTTTGGTTAAATTTTATATTTAGACATTATAATGCTATGTACAAGATGAAAATGAAGATCGTCTAGTTTATGAAATGAAGATCATCTAGTTTACTCCATTTTGCTTATTATAGCATATATATATACTTGTTCTCAGTACACAGTACATATACAAGAACAATAGAAGCTTATGTCGATGTATTATAGTTAGAATATATTGTATAATATATCATTACCTTATATGGTATAATATATCTTATACATAAACCCCTCTTATATACATCTTATTACACATTAATATATAATACATAGTTCTCTCTTTTGTTCTTGGTAATTATATATTTGGCAATCATATACAAGGTAAACTTATATATGGTAACCTTAGAATTATCATATATAGGTTTACCTTATATAGGATTGTCATATATACGGCTATCATATTGTTTACTTATTCATCACACATAACCCACCTATATAAACCCCTTTTGTATAAATCTTATTACACATTAGCCTTATATAATATTACCATATATTAGTTTAACTTGTATAGGATTACTATATATATAGTTACCATATACATATAGGGTTTACATTATATATAGTTATCATAGATTTATGATAGATTTAGTTGTTCATCACATACAATCCCTCCTATATAAACTCCTCTGGTATACATCTCAAAGATCAATATACAGAGTTTCTATCCACCTATCATATAAGGTAATACAATATACGACAATGATATATTATAGAATATATTCTAACAATACATGGTAAGAATATATTATAACTTCAACAATTCAAAAATTATGACAGTTTGTAGGGTCAGGTTTTAAAAATTGAAACAAGCTTTGTTCGATATGCACTAAACAATACTGTTCAGATCCAATAGAATATATAGAGCTAACCATAAGCCTTTACAGCTTGCAAATTCTATATAATAATACTCTGATGATAATCCTCGTCTGAATAAGCAATTAACAATTCAATCTCGAATATCAACAGTGACCCTTTGATTTAAATAACGAGTCGCATGTGTGAACACAAACTAAAAGTACCTCATAATACTTTTAATTATAATTATCAACATTAACCCTTTGATTTAAATAACGACTCTCATGTGTGAACACAAACTAAAAGTACACCATAAGCCTTTTAATTTATATTGTTAACTTTTCCGAAATAATATATTGTTACCCTCCAAACCTGTCTCAGTCCCAACCTCCAATTTGATAGCACTGGATATAACATATTAAAATGAGTAAGGTGACGTAAGAATTACTTAGGTCATTTATATCATGTATTATAGCACAGCCAGTGAGAGAATATATAATGCTAGAACCAGGATTATGAAGCACTTATCTTGACAGACCAGGATTCTCTTTTGTTTCATTTTTGTCCGGGCCTAATGTAATAAATACAACAATTATATAAATGTGTTAAATTCTTAATTTATTGGTATTATAATATTTCAACAATGTAATATGATGCATGGATGTATCTTCAATGTAGTGTTGCATAATTTTTTTTAAAGTTGTCGCGTGAGTGTTGCATTTTGTGATGCAAGTGTATTATACTAATACCTAGAATGAGTGCACAAGATTCCTTATATAGGAGGGAAATCGATTCTATCTCAGTATAACATCATCATCTATTAGTCATGACATCAAATATTCATATTTAAGAACCGTACAAAGGTTTTTATTTATTTATTTATTATAGAACTGAATGTGTTGTGTCACATTCAACGGCTCCTAACCTTTACGCTTGTGAGTTGATTCATTGGATGTAGTGGTACATCACGTGTGCCACCCTGAGAGGATCCCAACTTACACAACAATATGAAGTATAACTTAGTTTATTTTTTACTTTTTATGACTCAATTTTGTAAAGACTTAAATAAATATATATGGGTAGCAATTTCCTCAATCCCAACGAGGTCCACCCCACCCCGCTTCTAATAGGATGAATTTGATAGGCCCCTAAATGGAGTAGGGATAGATATGATAATAAAAATTAAATTTCACCTCGGGCTTGGGGTGGGGATGGATTTAGTGTTTAACCCGCCCCACCCAGAGCCCATTATATGTGTGCGTGTGTTTTTTTATTTTTATTTTTCATTTTTATGTTGTAATCGTTTATTTGTTCATTGTTTTATATTTTTGTATAAGGTATTGATTTTTATTTTCTATTGTAAATTTCACTATTGATTTTATTAACAAGTCACCCATCTCCATTTATTTATCATAATTTAATTTATTGTACTAAATTAAATAAAGGAAGTGGGGTAGAGTCGGTATTCCGTCTGTTCCGTGGAGACAGAGATTGTATTCGAATTACAAATTCGTTCTGAAATAGGAGCAGAATTGGTATGAATGATTTTTTAACGTGACGGAACAGGGTTTAGACAACTCCATTCCAAACAAGCTCAGTTGTCATTCCTTAGTTATATATATATATATATATATATATATATATAATTAAAAAAAAAAAAAAAAAAAAAAACTATCACAGGGTGCTTTGGTTTGGGAACCTATCGACTCCCAAGAGGGAGAGCCCCTTGGCCATTTTTTTTTTTTTTTTTTTTTTTTTTTTTTTTTTTTTTTTTGATTAAAAGGTAAGCTAGAGCCCCTTGGTTGGGTTACCTTTGGAATCTCTCATATGCAAGAACTAATTAAAAAAAAATGTTTCAGCAAATGGGCATACATTTCTAAAGTTGGGAATACGAGGTAAGATATAATATTGGCATGATCACTTTTCTTTTGGGTCAATTGCTAAATGTGGATCTTGATCGCTGACACTTGGCCAAAGTTGTTGGTTGGAGGCATGAAAGATATATTAATTAATTTGTAGCCAAACTTTATAGGTATCCTTAATCCTAGGACTATAATTAAATTAAAGCCAACATCAAATGTCATTGCAGTAGGGGAAACCAAGGCCACGTGGATTGTACCCGTTTAACAGTTTGGTTCGCCGACAAATCTCTGATACTCTAATCACATTATTACTTTTGCGCATGTGTAGCTTCGGTCGTCAAGCACATCATACATACACTCTGTAAAACCAAATTTAATGTTCCTAAGGCATCATTTGGATAACTAAAAGATGGGGAAAAAATAATAATGATAATTACATCCTAATATTTCTTTTAAATCGTAACGAGAAAGTAACAAAGGAGTTTCAAAGTGCAACTTACCAAATAATATTATATGAAAAAGAGTTCAGTCGATTCAAAAGGCACAAGAGAATTAGATGCAAAAGAAATATATATATATATATATATATTGAGAATATAATGGTAATTTCTCCACTAATTTTCGAGACAAATGATGAAAAATGATAATATATCTGATTATATGTTTATGGTTATAAATGTATAATTGCATTTCTTCTGTCTAAAAAAAAATGCCTCTTTTGAGAAATTTTAATTTATAATTTATAAGTTTAAATATTTCAAAATAGACATTTATTTTGGGACAAAGTTAATATACTATTTGGCTTAGCTCGGTAAAAGCATGCTAAAGACAGTGTTGCTAA